TGAGATTTCCGTATCAAAGATCATTATAAAGTCATGTCTCCATCTGCTGGTCAGACTTTAGAAACACATAAGATTACATAATGTCCTCCTGTTCTTACCCTATTTCATGCGTTCATGTAATATATATATATATTTTTTTTTAAATAAATCTTTATATATTTTATATTTTTCAATATTTTATTATTTTAGTTAATCTTTTAGCATAATGTTTACAATTTACCTTACTTCATTTAAAAATACATACATTTACATTTTTATACATTCATTTTTTTCACGTTATGCTAGACTTTAATTACAGGTAGTCATGACAACTTAAGAACCGTTTTTTCTTTACCTCTATATATAAACTATAATACCTAAAATGAAGTTTGATTGCTGTATTAAATTTAAACCTGCTCACGTTACATCATATTTTGTTTTTACGCGTTTTTACAGCGTTGCTCATTATAATCAATCACACACGATTCTGTTGGGTTTAGGAATGCATTAGCCAATCAGAGGCGTTCAGATCAGTCATCGCTGAAACCCCAAGAGTTTTGTTCAGACTGAAACTCGCGAATTTCCTCATCATAAGCAACAAAGTGCAGATGTACGAACGATCTAAGTTAGATATTAATTTATCATACCGAGTGTGGACAGCTTCATTGGTTATAAGAGGAGTTATGAGTGTTTAAACACTAGCTAGACTGACTGTTCTCATTTAGAGTGTGTTCTTTCACTGCATGACATTGGTGACTATGAGTATAGTGTGTATAAGCGAGTAGATTTCAATTTCTGCACAGTCTAATCTAATTGGCATATTCTTCTAATTTAATATTAAGAAATTCTTTTAACCCAAAAAGCAAATTATGCTCCCTTCGAACTGGTTTTCTTTAAAATAAAAATATTTGTAGGCTATCTGTAATCAGAAGCACATTTATAACTGGAATATAATTTAATTTCCTTCACATGTGTTTCATAAACACATAATCCTTTATGGATTACAATTCGCCATCAAAATGATACATTTCATTATTCTGGCTGCTGTGAGAAAAGGCTATAAACGATCCGCCACCTGCAGGATCCTCACATGCAATAGCCTAGTAGCCGGGACAACTTCTTTATGTTTACAGACGTGACGTAACAATGCAGCGGCATGCTCGAATTTCCTGCGAAAACCTACCCGTACCACTCAAATTAGAAAACATTATTATAAGCTAACCATTGTGAATCGGGCTAAAGTAAGGTGATAGTTTTGATCACTGGCTGGTTATGTACTTGCTCTTATATTGATTTCGGCTCATTTTTAACCAAAAAAAGTTACGGACTGCAGCTTTAATCATTATCACATGAAGAGTGACATTTTATTCGCAAAAAAATATCACACGTCATATTGATTTTATACAACAGTTCAATAAACAATTAGTTAATATTAAGAGACTTACGTTTTAGACACCATATTGCCTACTTTTGCTCTATTTTGCCAACAAAAATTGGTCCAAACAAAGCCACAGCCAAAACAGCGTCTGGTGTTTCGTTCCTGAATGAATCAACCCTTTAAATGATTCGGTTCAATTGCAATAACTCACTTATTAACAGTGACTTGCTGCCACCTACTGGCGGTTTGAATTTCACATTAAAATAACCTTTTCATTTTTTTAAAACAATTTCAAATATCAGTATTAATGTTTTAGGATTAAACTATCAAAACATTATTTATGCATTTGTAACTGCAGGTTAAATGCATCCATGTCTTGCATTAAACAGTGTGTATATGCATCTAAATGCCACTTCAGATGCAGCTTCTGTGTTTCCTCTGCATTGCAAAAATTAATTTTGTTGGTATTTGTTTGGTAACAGCCCCAAATGTCGTATTATTGTAACTGACTTTATTGATTAAATGTAGCCTAAGAATTTGACACAGTTTGACACAATTTGACAAAGAAAAAAATATGGCTTTACAAAGGTAAAAATGCCCATAAAGGGTAAAAATAATTTTAAACTTGTTGGAAAAGATACATTTTTTGTCACTGCTGTGAACTGACCACCACACAGAGTCAGCTGTCCATGGCAGTCCTGCAGCGCAACTCACTCAGCAAAATATTGTCTGATTATCGTTATTGATAAAATCCCAGAAAATATTGAGATATCATTTTTTGTCAATATGGCACACCCCTAGGCTAGATATTTAATTCTTCTTTGCTTAGTGATTGTTCGTACACCTAATTCACTGATCATCGTAAAATAAACTTTTATCTAGGTTTTCTCAACGATAAAGAGGACAAGACAAAAAATATGAATCATATTTAGGCTATATAAGGTTTTATTTTTATTTTTTTTTTTTTTTGAAGGGGGCGTGGGAGGGGGGGTCTGGTTTGGGGGACCCCCCAAGAGCTTTGACACAATTCAAACACTGTTTAAAAGCATTATTTGTCCTTTGGGTGAGAAAAATAAATAATAATTCGAATATTTTTTTATTAAATATAATATGGAATTTTACATACATAGGCCTACATGCATACATACATATATATATATATATATATATATATTTTTAATTTTTTTTTCATGAGACCCATCATTCCATCAATAGTTTTAGGTTTGGATATTTTAAGTTTTTCAGCACTGATTTAATTCAAAAAGATACACTCTAAAAACGGCTGGGTTAAAAACAACCCAATTTGGGTTATTTTGGCAACCCAGCGCTGGGTCAAAAAGGGACGAACCCAGCGCTGGGTTGTTTTAACCCAACTAGTTGGGTTATTATGTTTGACCCAGCATGCTGGGTTGCTTTTTTATGGTTTAAAATTACTACACTGCTAGGCTAAAATGAACCCAAATCGAGCTAGACATTAAACCTACAAATCTTGTTCATTTTAAAATAATTTTACACACACAGAATGGCTATCAAAAAGTAAATATTTATTTAAAACAAGAGAAAACAGTCAAAAGTAACATGCATGTAAGAAAAAAATGCAGAAAAGTATGGCATTGACAGCTACAGAGTTTATAAATGAAGCATTGAACATTTGTTGAATATAACTTTTAAGATCAAATTTGACTTTTGTGGTAAATTTGATAAATTCTATAAAAATATTATACAAAAACACTATTATACAATAGTTGTACAATTAGTTAATAGTTAAGTTCTTTACAAACTATTC